AATAACACAGTCTGTCAAAGGAATATCAATCTAGCCATTAGCATTCGTTTAATCCTGCTTTCATATACTGAATCAGGTTACAAGATTTTATCAAGGCGCCTCCCGTTGACGAGAGGAGGAGCCTTTGGGTGGTGAGGGCGCCACAGATCTCCGGGTATACGTCATCATTGTGGTGTGCAGTATGAGAAAGGCTTGGGGAATTCAGCCAATCAAAAAATGTTTATAAAAGTTCCCCAAAAAAATACTCTACTTTTCCGGGCTTCTATATTTTTTTTGTAAAAAAAAACTTTTCTTCCACACTCAAGATGCTTCGTTCAACATCTCGCTTGTTTGCTGCCAAGCATGCTTTCTCACCCATGGTATATATCTAACTCGTCTTGTTTATATAATAATTAAATCATTCTTTTGAAAAAGCGTGCTTTGTCTACTAGCGCACCTCGTTTCTCTGACACAGTGACCATTACTTTACCCGAATCCTCCTTTGAAATGTACAATGCTGAAAAGCCCAACTTGGAAGTCGAAGTTAGCAAGGATTTATTGATGGACATGTACAAGAAGATGACTATGATGAGACGTATGGAAATGGCCGCTGATGCTCTTTACAAAGCAAAGAAGATTCGTGGTTTCTGCCATTTATGTAACGGCCAGGTAAGGAACGGGCAAACGCGGGGGAAATTGGGTAAGAAAAAAAAATCCAACCCCCGCTGACAAGAAGAAGCATTGTGTGAGCTAATGATGATAAATATGAATGTAGGAAGCTGTTTCTGTAGGTATGGAAGCTGCTATTACCAAGAACGATCATGTGATTACTGCCTACAGATGTCACGGTTTCACCTATCTCCGTGGTGCTTCTGTTGAAAGCATCTTGGCTGAATTGATGGGTCGCCACACTGGTGTCTCCAAGGGCAAGGGTGGCTCTATGCACATGTTTGCTACCTCCTTCTATGGTGGTAACGGTATTGTCGGTGCTCAGGTAAGATTTATTTAATGTGTAAATGTGTGTGCATTGCTGATTTTTATATATTAGGTTCCCCTTGGTGCTGGTGTTGCCTTTTCTCAAAAGTATCTCAATAACCCCTCCGTCACCTTTGCTCTCTACGGTGATGGTGCTGCCAACCAAGGCCAAGTATTTGAAGCTTTCAACATGGCCAAGTTATGGGATCTTCCTTGTGTCTTTATGTGCGAGAATAACAAGTATGGTATGGGAACTGCTGCCAGCCGTTCATCTGCCTCTACTGACTACTATAAGCGTGGTGACTACATCCCTGGTATCAAGGTCAATGGTATGGACGTCCTCTCTGTCTACAGAGCCTGTCAATGGGCCAAGGAATGGACTACCTCTGGTAAGGGTCCTCTTGTGATGGAAATGGCTACTTACAGATACGGTGGTCACTCCATGTCTGATCCCGGTACCACCTACCGTACTCGTGAAGAAATCCAACATATGCGTTCTAGCTCTGACCCCATCACTGGTTTGAAGAATGTCTTGGTCGAACACGGTTTGGCCACTGAAGAAGAACTCAAGGCTATTGATAAAGAATGCCGCAAGGATGTAGCTGAAGCTACCAAGAAAGCTGAATCTGCACCTGAGCCTCCTATCTCTGACTTCCATCTTCACATCTATCAACCTGGCTCCGAACCTCCTGTCGTCCGCGGTCGTGAGCCTAATGAAGTCTATCGTTACTAAGTTATATTTTTTGTGTTTAGATAAAACAAAACACGCATACATACACACACATTTTAATAATATTGTAAAAATCCATTGTTTTTCTTTTACTTTTTTTATTTTTTTCTTTATGGCTTTATAAATGCACATTAATCATAAAAAGAATTACCAATTGATCATCAGATCCATTCTTTACTGCAGTAGATTCTACAGAGCATGAGCATATCGAAACAGCAAGCTTGGAAGAGTACTACCATTTGCGTGTTACTCTTCTCAGCCAGCTTTTGTGTAAAATATAAAATCATAAACAAGGAACAAAAACCATAAGAGACCTTATCGTTTGTTATAAATCATACCTTTAAATAAAAAGTGCAATCAAGCACATGAAGTAATATCGACTAAATCAACCATACATCACAAGTTCACAGCCCGCTGCAAAAATTAAACCCATCTTAAAAAACAGAGAAAAGAAGGAAAAGAAAGATTGATTTTTTTATTAATTATGGCAACTAATCGACAGCGACAGTACCATACCTTTGAGGATACGGCAACATTGACCAATGGTCATGTCCAGAATAATGGGCCTGTCAATAGACATGCAAAACCTAATCGTACGACCAAGATATCACAAAAACTCAAACTATTTCCTGATAATGACGATGCCAGAACGGTGGAAGAGAATCTATTTGATGTTGATGTGTATACGCAACTTGCCCAAATACCTCATGATTCAGCACGATTAGAAGCTGAGCGATTAAACAAGTTGGATCGAAACAGTTTATCTCGAGTTACTGCTTACTGCACAGCTTCGTAAGTGTTCTTATAAAAATAGAATCCTTTTGTAATGTCTATGTAGATCATATCGAATGAGTGAAGTATTGAAATATTTGAAACTAAAAAAGAAGACCAACTGCACAAAGCCTAAACGATTTGATGAATGGTATTAAATATATATATATGTATATGTTATAAGGGTATTCATGTGTATATATAGTTTGTATACGCCATATACATTCCATCCACCACCACCTCCTTCTATTCATAATAACAACAACAATAATCATAACGCTGTTGTTAAAATATTACCAGAGATGTTCTTGTTTGATTATGGTGTGATTGTCTTTTGGGGGATGACGCTTGAGGAAGAGGCAAAAATACTGAAGGAACTTGAACCATTTGAAGAAGAAAAGCTAGAGATAAACGATGTTGAAACAGAAGAGTTTAGGTACTATTATACTGAATATCAACAACCTCGAATATACAATGACATTATCACCTTACGTCACCCGTCAAATTATCTTGTCAAGTTGACAATCTCACATGCCATTGCACAAAGTGTTAAAATGACCTTATTTGAAAGACTGATTGATGATACCATTACTGAAACAAAGTATATACCTCAAGTCATGGCTGAGAGTGGTAATATCCACATGTCGAGGTAAGATAATAATAACTATGATGATAACAAAAATAACGAATATGTTTAGAACGGCGATTACCAAAAAGATTGGTCAGCTATTTATCATGCGAATCAATGTCAACCTGGTATCCAATATACTCGATACACCCGAGATCTTTTGGTCTGAGCCTGCTCTCGAACCACTCTATAGTGCGATTAGAAGTTACTTGGAAATATCTCAGCGTGTTGAATTACTTAATCAACGTGTGGAAGTGATTAGTGATTTACTAGAGATGCTGAAGGATCACCTGAACAGCTCGCACGGAGAACACTTGGAATGGATCGTCATCTGGTTGATTGCTATGGAAATTCTGGTTGCTGTTATCACAACGTCCTTAGATGCATATCATTTATACTTTAATCAATAAAAAAGAAAAATTGCCTTTTTTTTGTACATGTTTCAACAGTTGTTCCAACAGTTGAAGGACCTTTTTGAGGATAAAGATAAAACTAAAGGTATTTGTGCTAAAGTATATATAAATATGTGTATATAAACTCTATCAAGACCTACAACAGTGTGGAGATTCAGTTTATGCCCTGTTTGAATCAGCACGATTAGATGTCTTGTCAAGAAAAGAAAATTGTAACGAAAAGATTAATGCCTTGATCGATTACTGCAACGAGACGATATTACTATACCCCTTCAAGGATGTCCCAGATCACTGGCGTCGTATGCTTATTGATACAGGGCTATTGAAAACTATGGCTCAGCTCGAAAGATGTAAAGATGTCCAATCTCTCATTTGGGATCTTGATACCTGCTCTATTGTCAGTGGAGCACCTGAACGATACGAGATTGTGACTGATATCCTTGAGCAGCTTCAAAGGCATCATTATAAAGATAACAAGGACGATGACATGAGTTTAGCTTCCAAGGATGACGTATGGATGGATATAAAGTACCCTATCAAGAGCATGGCTCCACCAACATTTGAATGGTTTCTGGCACATTGCAACCAAGACCTACCTGAACCGATCGTGATAAAGGGTCTGGTTAATCACTGGCCAGCGATTGAGCGGTGGAAATCGACGAGATACCTGCTCTCGGTAGCCTCCGCACGTGTAGTACCAGTCGAGATCGGCAGTTCTTATACGGACAGTGAATGGAGACAAGAGATGATGCAATTTTCTGATTTCATGAAAAAGTACATTCTTACAGAAACAGACGGCAAGGTTGCTTATTTGGCACAACATGACCTATTTTATCAAATTCCACAGCTTAAAAGAGACATGATCGTGCCTGACTACTGTTATATTGAACCTAAATTAAATGAATTCTACACACAACGACCAAAGGATGTGATCAAGAATGCATGGTTTGGGCCCAAGGGAACGGTGTCTCCCTTGCATCATGATCCTTATCATAATCTACTTGTGCAAGTGGTTGGATCTAAATACCTCAGATTGTACTCACCTGATCAAACACATTTGCTGTATCCGCGCCAAGGCCTGATGAGTAATACAAGCAAGGTAAATAAGGAAAGTATGTTTAATACAATCATTATTAAAATTTATTAAAAAAAAAGGTCGATATTGATCATGTTGATCATGAACAGTTTCCTTCCTTTAAAGATGCTCATTATGTTGAATGCATATTACGTGAAGGAGAAGTGTTGTATATTCCGGTAAGCTTGTTTCTTAAAAAAAGGGGGTTTATTCATCTTGTCTTTAATGTAGCCAAAATGGTGGCATTATGTGAAATCATTAGAGACTAGCTTTAATGTTAGTTTATGGTTTTAAAACACGTGATGTGTAACAAATTTATTAATACACAATAAGCAAAAAAAGGGGGGGGGTATTAGATATTAATTACACTATTATAAAGCTAATGTTTCCATCAAAAGCTCGATTGCATTCTGAACATGATCATTAAACTCGGTTAACAAATCAGATTGAACTTGAGATAATCTGGTGAATAACCACTGTAGTTCATTAGACGCATCGAATGCTTGTTCTTGTTCTTGATGAATAATGTTTACTTGGAATGGTTGACGTAGTTTCCACTCGACAGTGACTGTAGATGATGATTTAGTGTTTTTATGGACAATGGATGATGCTTGACGTATTAAGATGGCAGATGTTTGTTCTGCGTTGATGATTAAACCAAGTTGGTGGCTTATTTTTGCATTGAGTTTGGGTAATTCGTTTTGTAAGGTATCTACATCATTTTTGATCATCAGTTGTTGGATATCTGTAGAAACAAGTGGATTGACTGATGCTAATAGACTTGCTCTCATAAAGTTGAGATTACGATCCATAGATCGAATGATATCATGCCGAGCTATATTGTGAATGTGAGTACAAATGTGCATATATTCATATTTTAAATTTTACCTTCTATGTTTCCTTGGCTCATAGATTCAGGTATATATCTTAGAATGTCTTCAGATGCATCCAACATGACTTGATCAATGATATTTTCATAGAAATCAGACAATGTATCAGTTAATACGCTTCCGATATCATTGTTTTGTTCAGAGAATATGGGTGCTGCATAGATGAATGTGAAGCAATAGACCAGTAATAAAGTTGAAATAAACATATGTGAAAACACGAAAAGGAAAGGAGGCTCTTTTGAAGGATATATAAATGAAAAGAAATAGAGAGAAAAGAAGAAGAAGAAAAGGCCCAAGAAAAAGAGAGAATGGGAAGGGGGCAATAATAAGGAGTTTCATTTCTAATAACTTCTTGTACAACAGACAATAAATTAACGGATTGACACACACTTTCATACTTTGTTAGATGTCAACCTCGGTTATGTGGTTGTATACAAGCAATTTAAACTCCATTAGCCAATACAAGAGACAACAGATCTTTTCTTTAACTTCTCTGGCGCAACGTCGCACACGCGCATACCTACACACACACTCACACACACAAACACACTTCAACATAGCGCTTGCATTTATTTTGTCAGGAATATGCACATTTTTTATTTCCAAAAGACAAAAAAAAAGTCGTAATGCTGTTTTTGAAGGAGGGATAAAAATAAGAAATACACAATAAAAGATTCCCTTTTTGGAAAATAAAAAAAAAGGTCATCTGTTCCCATTCCCAGACTAGCTTCCAAGCACTGTTTTTCATCTTCCGCGTATGATCCTTAATACTAACCTAAAATGGTCACATTTGCTGAAACACAAGATGAAGAACATGTCTTAAGGTAACGAAATTGCAAGGAAAATACAAGAGAAAGAGAAAAAGAGAGGAAGGAAAGTCATGGATGAACTATGCTCTTCATGGTGTAGTACTCAGAAAAGGTACACAGGTGCGTGTGCGTGTGTGTAAATTGTAGGTAAAAAAAATATACATACCTTGATTTTCTTTACCTTGTACAAAAAAAGGCAAGATATTGCGAGGGCTATCTCCCCCTTCCCTTCCTCACTCACACTTTGTCATCATAAAGTGGATATAACATGAAGCTAAACGCTAGAATTTACAAGAACTGCAATATTTGACATCAATCAGACAAGTAAAAGATATAAAAATGAGACAAGACAGAGACAGAGTGAGTAAGAGAGAGAAAGAGGACGTGGCAGAAGATGTATTACATGGCTTATTGTGTTAAGAATGCACAAAGATAATGTAATCAGTCGAGATGTATCAATGACATACGTTTGCAAGTATGCGTGCGAATATGTCCGGATACACATATATACTAGTTGTATTAAAACTAAACTGTGAACAATAGAACTGCTGATAATAATCGTGTAACTATGGAGGAAAATAAAGTTTTGGTTAAAATTGTTACCATAACTTTGTATTCCCCGTTAAGACTTTGGGTTTACAAACATACAGTCTTTCCGTTTCTATCTGTCGTATACAGCAAATTTACCTGTCGTATTCTTTTCGTACTTGGTGTATATATATATATTTATTTCCATTCTGAACTCATCAAGTCTTGTTATTACATGAGTGAATAAAGATTCAATTGTCAGATGAGTAAGACAATGAGCTGATGGAGGAAGTTGACAATGAGAACAAACATGGAACAGTATCTTCTTTTTTCTCAGTTAAAAAGCCAACATGAGTCTAATGTTGACGATGAGATGGAAGATTAGTCAAAAGATCAAGTAGAGAACTCAACCAAGAAGATTATAAAAAAAAAGAAAGCTATAATGTTTTTATCTTATAGTGGCTACAAGAAACCATGACAGCATATATACATTCAAACTGACAAATATTGATAGAGTAAAAATATAATGACAACCGTCCTTTATAGATTAAGCAGTAAAGAGGATTAATAGGGGGCTTTGGATTCATAAGAGATCAGCTGTCACTGTGTGTATTTACCACATCACTCCAGAACTGAATTGAATACATCTGTGTCAGTTTGTTCAAAGTCAAAACTAGAAGAGAGGAGGTACTTGAGGAAGAAACTTTTTTAGCTTGAATTGATGAAACAAGTAACCAAATACCACAAATCCATCTTTATCAAGTGCTCAACTTTGAGATTAAAAGAGTTTCTAAGCAAGAGACCAGTTTAGTATCTTAAACTATATTGTAACTGTATAAATGAAATCTTCCAACTGAGATGAGAGACCATGTTTTATACAATGACAAATAGAAACAGAAGGATTGTATCTAGGGATGTACTTTGTTGGTGAGAAATGATAATTCTCGACTTATTCTATTGATTTTAGAATAAATCAAGCTTCAAGTCCAAATCCTTTCCATTGCCTTATTGTGTTGAGTCCTGTAAAAATTAGAAAAGTTTGATAATTCAATGTATTTTATAATTTTATAATTTTTGAATTAATCTTTTAAAAAAATGATAAACGAATTTAGCTTAGTATTTACAGACTTACTGCCGTGTCTTCTGTTATATTTAAACTTATAAGAAAAGAAAGTGGCAAATTTTTTGTAAAACAACAAAGTAATACTTTATACTAAGTAAAGAAAATAAAAGAAAGAAAAGTAATAATTCATGGCAGATAGCATAGTTCAATTGTGGAATGAGTGCTTTACAAATAACAGGCAGGTTATTGTAGCAATATGATAATGAAATTCATTAGATTTTCAAATAAATAAATGGCAGGGAAATTAGGAATATATAGGAAAGCAAGGAATACTTATATATATAAACAAGAAATAAATTAAAAAAATAAATCAAAAATGACGATTTAAACAATCAACAACTATGTAATTCAACTAGCTTTAGATGATGTAATATTTCTCTTGTGTCAGCATATAAAAATACCTGACAAAGCACAAAGATGTATCATAGACATAAAAGCACCACGACAAGAGTTGATGTGCAAACAGACTTTTAGGTTTACATTGGAGACATTTCTTTTTATTATTACACACGTTGACACATAAAATAACGAATAAGCATTCACATATAAATAGTTATAGCATGAACATGAAGCAATATTCAATTTTATACTGTAAGTATTGCCTTTGTTAAAATAACACATGTATAAAATTTTGTGTAGACCTATCTATTATTGTAGCACAGAGACGTAAAGAAGAAGCCTGCATAACATTGTGGGTAACATCTAGAGCATGTACAGCAACTATCTATGAAATATTATCCTTTTTGATAGAAGCATAGATCTAAAAACAACTGAATTTGGATCCAAACAATTGAGAAAAGTACTCAAGCGCTAAACTTGAATAGAAAGCTTAAAGTAGGGTACTATAGGCATATATCCAATAGGATGCAGCATACAATTGTTTTATATTATCAAAAAGACAGATTAATACGCTTAGGGCTCTTTTATTCGATAATATAAAGCTCCAATTCAAAGGATATTTAGAATAAGGGTATTCAGAGTCAATGATTCGAAAGTCTATTACATAGCTTGTATCTACATGCTTGATAGATTTACTTGTGGTTGATTATGGTTCTAATTCATCTGTCAATAACGCCATGCTGTCAAAGGGACCATCATCGGGGATCTAACTATTGGATTTATTCTTTGATGTGCTTATTTACTATTGATTACAGCACTCGTTCCCTTTTAATTTGATTATTTATTATGTAAAATGTTTGAGAACACTCAATATAAAGAAAGTATCTTAGAAATTGATAAGAACACAATCACCTAGCAATACTTACTATTTACATTTATACTTTTGATTTTTAATGCAGTGCCTCCAGTGCCAAATGTCGCCTTTTTGAAAATATCTTGCGCTTTTGACTACACCAATCTGCACTTTTGGCAATCTTAAATTACGTACAGTGTTTTAAATTTAAATTGGTCAGCATTATTAAAATAGATTGGTCACTTCCTTGAGACCAAATCGATCACTTTCTCAAAGCTTGCTTCCGAACAACAAGTTAGCTCTACTGGCAGAATCGTGTCAACAAAGTGAGAAGAATATAATTATTGAAGTACTAAAATAGTCCGTATTGAAAAGCTATCGAAGTGGTGATACGTAGTTTAGTAGTTTATTTATGTCGTGCTACAGCTAAAAATGATTCTTTATTTATTACATGAAAAAAGTGTATGTTTCTGTGTCTTTATATGAAAGAATATGCATGTATGCATTCTCTCTGTTATTGATTAGTCATACGCTTCGCCCTTTTTGATTGATTGCTAGGTGATAAACAGACGTTGGTTGGATTTACCTTTCTCTTTGGTGTTCCAACGAAGCTAGTTGAAACATAATCACTGACTTCGATAAGATCATGCTTGTAAAATTGATAAACATGAGATAATGTGGCTGCGTTGCTAAGGTTCGCTGCGAGCTCTCTCCAGGCATACAGGTTTATAACACTTTTTCAAAGTTGCTGCAACTCTACCAAAGAGCTATCAAACAGAATCTCTCAACCTTGTGTCCTACAAAGCGGTTTTCATATCTGTACAATTGAGCCATGTAAGCGGATTTGCCAGCGAAGTCAAAGTAAATGAGTTGGTGATCAGTGTCTTGAAGTAAAAGATGGATATATAGAGACTTCGGTAGTGTGAGGCTGTAAAATGATGTCACATGTAATGTATAGAAGGAGCGCCCGTAGTATTAACCTATCTTCTGGTGCATTTTCTAGTGTATGTAGTGTTCACCTAAAAGTTAACAGGCCATATCCCCAGCCCAAAAACAAGACCAAATCATCACGTTTCCTCCACCAAACTTAACAGTTCTCAAAAGGCGACAGCTCTCGTAACGTTCATCTTGCTTCTTCAAGGCTTTTGGCTCACCGTCATTGACAGACACTCGGAATCTTGATTCATCGGACCAGATCACCTATCTCCAATGATCATTGGTCCAGTAAACATGACTTTTGACCCAGTCAAGACGTTTTTTCTTCTGTTCCTCAGTCAAATTGGGCTTGCTTGCTGAAGAATGGTACTTGGAATCCAACTGCTTTATCCACTTCTTCACAGTGGAGTGACAAACATCTTTGTCCATCAGGCGGAGTTCTCTTCTAAGAGTGTCAATTGTTTGGAACAGATCTTTTCTGATTACCCGTTCCAAATGTCGTCAAGTGTATTCATCGAAGGTAGAGGGACTATTTGTGCTCTTTCCTGGCAAGGTTGTACCAGTGGAAGCCACTCTGTCGGTAGCAGATTGCACATTTGTGCGCTTCAAGTCAATCATGGTCGAAATGTCATACTGGCTGATTCCAAGCTGCTTTAAATAGAATGTGGCACTCAGTTTCATTTTCTTTACTTGTTGATCTTGTCCCTAAGGATCCTGCAATCTTTCAATGCTAATTTTGCGGGTTTTAGTCGTGATGTGAAGAAAAAAAAAAGGTGTATACTATGCGCGCAAGGAAATCTACGAGAAGGCTAATGATACAAACACTACCTGTGATGTCAGCAAACCTTTTCAATGTGTAGCAACGCATTAAACTTGTTCAGAAACAAACATCTTTTCATGTTCCTTGATGTAGGGTTAGAAGATCTTTTAAGAAGAAAGAGATAAAATGTGATTATTGCTGTATTTTAATGTTTTTATGCCGTCGGTTTGATCAACAAAGAGCCAAGATCAATCATGCGCTATTATGGCATATATGTATTTTATATCAAAGGATGTATCACAGGACAGCCTTAGGTTAGGTAGACACTTTGGTAGTGTGGGTTTATACAGTGACGCCACATGTATAGGAGAATAAGCGCCTGTATCATTAGCCTTCTCTTGGATTTCCTCGTGCGCGTAGTGTACACCAAAAAAATAGCTTGAAGTAAAAGTGATGTGAAATGGACAAAGCACTAGTAATCCTAACTGTACGTTTGTATCGATGAATATTACACCCTTTGGTGTAATATAATCAATTTATATTTCGTACACAAATTAAAGCTATCTTAAATATTAACATAATACTTCGTATCGAACAACACTTATTCATGCCATCTATAGCCTGTAGTAGTTGATGAAGCGTCATATTAATATAATCGGTTGACAACATTTATTCCTGCATATAAAGATCAATTTCCCCTTTTGCCATGAATCTCCTTCTCTTCTCTGTTCATAAAAAACTTATTTCATGTTGCTATATTCTTATATTTTTAAGGTAAAACTGCTTATTTATCAATTATCACATCTGTGACGATAATCAATTGCACCTTGAAGATTACTCGAAGCTTGGCCTCTTACACGAACTCTGGGCATTTGTTTACAAAGTCTTCAGAGACCGGCGAATCCGAGTCAAGCTTGGCGGACGTGGCAGAGTGGCAGTGGTGCTTGCAAGGAATGCAAACAGATATCCTGAAACACAGAGAAGAAGGCAAGGAAAGGCTGTCTGAGCAAAAGTGGACATCTTGTTCAAAATAGAAAACGATGAATTCGGATCTTGCGAAGCGAGAAAAGACAAGGTTACCGTTGCAGACGACAAGTATATATACGATGGGTTAGCCAAGCTACCTAAATTAACCACTGGACAGCCTATTATGGGACTGAACATGGAGCTGTTAAAAATGGATGTTCCTCACAAAGTGCAATAACAAGAGTCTTAAGATCACCAATGTTTAAATTCCCTTCGTCGCCCAACAACATTGGTATTGGCTTTATCCCTACTCTTGAAATTACTTGAAAGGCAAAGCAGACCATGCTCTAGAACTTTTCATTGCTTAAATATCGTAAAAGAAAGGCTTCTGAACTTTTAATCAGTCTTGCAGAGAGAACAACTGTGCTACCGCATTCCTTTGCTCGCTTCTCTGACGACAAAGTTTAAATAAATATACACTAGTTCCAGAAAGAGATGTTGCGTCGACTTGTGGTTTTTTTGCGTATAAATTATATTATAAAAATTATAAAAATACGATTTTACTTTCTGAAAAGACCGTATTCACTCATGTAATAACAAGAAATGGTGAGTCCAGAATAGAAATAAATGTATACACGCCAAGTACGAAAAAAAAAAAGACTAGAGAAGATGATTTAATTAAAAGGTGCGGATAGCAATTGCTTTTTATATGCTTTAAGTTCTTCAATCTATTCATAAAAGCGTTACTACATTATATCAATACACACACAACAGCCAAACCTCTTTATCCAAAGCTACTGCCTTCATATCCAAGAGATGAACAGAGGGTATAACGATATTATCTACTAAATTAGTCACCAGCTGTCCATAGACACTTGCGTTATAAGCTTGAGACAGAATGTTTGGTAGTTTCTGTTGATCTCTTGCTCTTAAATCATAGTATATATGCTCTGTAGACAACTTGTATTCCTTCTTATACTCATCAAAGATGTGGTTTGGAAGATCCAAATATAATTCTCGAATGTCTTCCGGTACGACTTGCTCTGGTTCAATCGTAAGTGGTACATTTATTTTTTCGACTGTTTCCTTTCTTGTTTGAAAACAAGTGATTTGTATCTTTTCGCTCTATACAATCAAAAGTTCAATATAGAATTGAAGAGCATATATAAATTACATTATCAGCTGTAGTGTCAAAGCATGAGACTATTAGACCAAAGAAACGATCGTCCATCAGTTGTTGGGATAGTTGTGTTCGAATATCTTTATGATCATAGGTTATACACTGTATTCAGAAAAGTTCCCCCTCTTACCAATATGAGATGGAAAGACGGTGATATGAGGGTGGCTATGATACTAAGCATAACATCAGCATCCCTTTGTATAATTTAATATCTGTATACATACCCATCCAATGACCATCATAGGTTGATTTGTCCTTTTACCCAGTTCCTTGTGTTATCATTAATATATAATATCAGATAAATTTCGAGATAATGCGTATATATATATATATACCTCAGCTTGTATTGCAGCCAAATGTAGGTTTTCAGGTGCAATTTCTACTCTATCTTTTCTTTTGTCGGAACGTGTCAAAAAGGATATAGATTTGATATGAGCAATACATTTCGTCTTATAATATGGATTGCTGCTAGGTATTGTCTTTTTTTTAAACAGTAAACATCATGACTTTTTATTGAATGGTATTACCTCCCAGTAACCAATTAGCATGCCAATGATTTCTTCCTATGTACAGCAGTAATGAGCAGGCATTTGTAATATGTAGATATAACTTACCTTTTCTGTAGAGTAAGCATGAGAGAGGATAAGGTGGTATATACTAGCAGGAAGATTAACTAGAGACAACATGTGTAAAAAAGGGAAAATAATTTTTTCTCTTTTTTCTTTTTCTTTCCTTGATTAAAAGAACATACGTTATGGGAGACAATGTAGGCAGACTAAAGCAGTAAGCTACACAGGGATTTAATGAAAGAAATGATATATATTTGTATATATATAGTTTGATGAATTAATGAAGAAACCTGAATGGTATACGGATGCTCAAGATTACTGGAAAAACGTACCACCTACAATCGACGGCATGCTTGGTGGATTTCAAGCGATTGATCCCATTGATGTTAAGGGTTCTTTAGAATTCATCAAGGAATATGTCGAAAAGGGTATTATCACTACAGAATATGCATGCGATTGTGGAGCAGGCATTGGTCGTGTTACGAAAAACTTTTTATTACAAGTGCCTTTTGCAAAAGTGGATCTTGTCGAACAGACAGAATCCTTTGTAGAACAAGCCAAGGCGAGTTATTTGGCTAAAGAAATAGAACAAGGAAAGATAGGACACGTGTTTTGTCAGGGCTTACAAGATTTTACACCAGAGGAAGGCAAATATGATTTGATATGGTGTCAATGGGTTCTTGGACATTTGACAGATGGTATATTTATATATTACTTTTAAAGAAAAAAGACTAATGCTTTACTAGAACATTTTGTTGATTTCTTTAAGCGATGTATCAAGGGATTGAAGCCTGATGGATTAATTGGAGTGAAAGAGAATAATGCGTCAAAGGAAGCGCTGTTTGATGACGAAGACAGTAGTGTGACAAGACGTAATGAAGAATTAAAGAAATTATTTGCAGAAGCAGGATTAAGAGTGATTAAAGAGGATGTTCAAAAAGGTCTTCCTGCTGGTTTATTTGCAGTTCGAATGTATATGTTAAAGCCAGAGTAATAAAACTACATCTGAATACTTATGGTATCATTATCATCACTCTGGTCAGTGGATCCATTAGGTGTTGATTCATTTGATTTTGCCAAAGTGAGCGAATGAGTTCCTACACGCTCCTGTTGTTTAGGATCATGGGTGATCCAGATACATGTCTTGGTCTTTAGCGTCTTTTCTACAAGTTGGATTGATTCTGGATCTAAAGCAGAGGTAGGTTCTACAAACAAATGTTGTTAACAAATATGAACATTTGTCCTACATACACACATACCATCAAGTAGCAGAATATCTGGATTGAGAGCAACTGCAATAGCCAAAGCAACTCTTTGCATTTCACCACCAGAAAGATTAGACCATTTTTCATTGAAATGGCTTTCTGACAAGTTCCATTCATTGCCAATCTTGACTGGATCATCAATCTTTTTGTTCTTTTGACTAGCGTAATTTGAGACTATTTTAAAAAAGTCGAGCGGTGTACCAGGATGCACAGACGGTCTTTGCGGCACATACATAACACGAGAACGCCAAATGGGGACTGCGTAATGGTTGACGTCCTTACCATGTAGTGTACAATACCCTTGATCATAAGGTACTAGTTCTGCTATACATTTCAATAGGGTCGTCTTACTATCATCCTTTTAGTTTTATCTGGTATTTTTCATATTTATCTTACCCAACACCGCTAGGGCCACGTAAGACGAGGACATCATTTTTCTCTAGAGTAAAGCTTATATCTTTAAATAGCCATCTCCCACCTACTTGCATTGATATGTTGTGCGCTTCAAACATTGGCATTTTATATATGTAAATAAGTTTAGAAAGAAAAGAAAGGAGAATACACAAAAGAAAGAGATGTGACGTCGACTCTGGTTTTATTTTGAGTTTCTTTCTTTTTCTTTTTTTTTTTTTTTTTTTTTTTTCAACACTTGATGTAATCATCATCCTGCAGCTGCAGTAGTCGTGGTTGTGTATAGATACATGTGTCTATAGTGGGTTTTTTAAACAATGAAATCCCTCCTCTCTCTCTTTCTTTCTTTCTCTCTCTCTCTCTCTCTCCTTTGATGGTTTTAAAATGTGATAATAAAAATCCTTTTTTTTGGTTTCTTTTTCTCGTTTTACTTTTGTTGGCTGTTGTATAAAAAAAGTTAAACACATTTTTTTTCACTTCTCTGTTCTCTTTCTTTCTCACTTTATAAAAGAAAAAAAAAGTAGGGAATTTTTTTCTTTTTCATTTTGTGGTCATCTAATTTATCTTGATTTTAGATGAGCCAAATAAGTCATTGGAAATCAGAGTTTTATAAGAATGGTCAACCTAAAGAAGTTATCGTTATCGAAGATACTCCTCCGCCGGATGAAAATATAAACAAACTCAAATATCGAATTGAAGTGCTACCAGATCCAACAGAAGGTGCTATGACACGCTCAAAGAGAACAAGAGCTGGTATGCAAGAGACTGCTGTCATACCTGCGTCTGTTAAAAGAAGAAAAATGACTATAAACAACAATAATATCACTGCGTCTAATATCCCTACTACTACTACTACCACTACCACTACGACAACAACAAATATACCTCAAGGTATTACTTTTCATTAAATACATAATATGCATACTAATAACTGTTTATAGCCAATCTAATACGACCCATATTACATAAACCCATCCCTACAAAAGCACCTCCTATTACACAAGTAAGTATATATAGTATGTACATATGTTATTGTTGTACTCATCCCAAAAAAAAAGGCTTGTGATGATAAAGATGGCCATTATATCATCAAACCCAACGAGTCACTAACTCCACGTTGTAAGTTCATAATGTAGTATTATCGCTCCATATTCATGTTTTTTGTTAGACAAGATCATGAAGTTATTGGGACAAGGCACATTTGGTAAAGTAGTCGAATGTTATGATAGAGTAAAACGAAACTTTTGTGCCATCAAGATCATCAGAGCCATACCAAAATACAGGGATGCAAGCAAGATTGAAATAAGGGTATTGAACAGCTTAAAGGAGCATGATCCAATCAATTTAAAGTAACTAGTCAGCATGATCTTGTAAATTTCCTTTACTCATTAACTCTTGTAGTAAATGCATACACCTGATGGAATGGTTTGACTACCACAATCACATCTGTATGGTCTTTGAACTTTTAGGTCAATCCGTGTTTGATTTTCTAAAGTTAAATGACTTTAGACCATTTCCTATTCATCACATTCAACAATTTGCAAAGCAGCTATTAACAAGTGTTGCATGTAAGCCTTTATACCTTTCTTTTATCATCACTCACATTATTTAAATATACTAGTCGTGCATGAATTGAAACTAATCCATACAGATTTGAAACCAGAGAATATATTATTGGTCAGTAGTGACTATACTGAAGCTGGCAATGTAGGTTCTCTCTATATCTCGGAAAAAAAAACATACTCATACATCTATAGATGGCTGGTATGGATCCAAAGTCTAAGATACTGCTGAATACAGATATTAGATTGATCGACTTTGGCTCCGCCACGTTTGAACAGGATTATCATTCGACCGTGGTATCAACTAGACATTATAGGGCCCCAGAGATCATCTTAGGCATGGGCTGGTCCTATCCTTGTGATATTTGGTCGATTGGTTGCATCCTCGTAGAGTTTCTTACAGGAGACGCTTTATTTCAAACACACGATAATCTCGAACATTTAGCAATGATGGAAGTGGTTCTTGGCAAAATACCACCGGAGCTGATCAAGTTATCAAGGTATATCATACATACATGATCATTGTTGTATTATCATTTTTCTTACTTTTCATCATAAAGCCCTGAGGCACAGAAATACTTTGACAATAGCAAACTGAAATACCCAAATGCTAATACCACCAAACAAAGCAAAAAATACGTCCGTGCCCTCAAACTGCTACAGGTAATAAAACCGTAACAATAAAAAGTTCGTAGGGTTAATACTTTTTTTCTTGAAGGATATTGTATGTCCATCAACACAACCCACATCGAATGCCAAGGTTCAATTTTTAGATCTATTATCAAGAATGCTGATATATGATCCCAATCAGAGAACTTCAGCAAGAGAAGCATTAAGACATCCATTCTTTATGATTCAATTCGATGAATGGGGGCGCGAACTTGCTTAAACATTGTACATAATGAAATCAGCATTGTGTGTGTGCGTGTGTGTATTTTATTTATATTAAATATATACTGATGTAGTATGTGGTATACAATTACTATTATTATAAATATTATATAGTGGTATATATTATATATATCAAGGTTCTAGTTCACCTAGTTGCTGAGCCATTTCAAGATTCTTACTGTACAGCAGCAGTACCTCCTGTTCGAGACTGATAATTCTGCCTTCCAAGGACGCAATCTTTTCTTCAAATGCACTTTCTGTCATCTTCCAGCTACCAACCTTGTTCTGAAGAGCTTCATCCGACTTGATCTGTGCCTGCCGCATAATCTCGAGCGACTTTACGTCTACCGCGTGCTGACGTTCCATACTTTCAAGTTCAACTTCGAGCTCGACGACCTTACTTGTTATGTCTCTGACTTCTCTGGATACTTGCAATTGGAATGTATCGACCTGTTTCCGAAACCGAACGTCGTATTGTTCCTTCAGCTCGTCCTCACGCGCCTTTAGCTCTCGTTCAAGCTGCTTATCATAAAATGTCTTCATCTGATCGACATGCCTTTGCGACTTTTCCAACTCTACCTTGATTCTAGCCAGCTCTCTTTCTTTCTCGGCCACGGATTGACGAAGGGCCTCTTCCAAAGCAACATCATGTTTTTCGAGTGATCGAGCGTGCTCTGCAGCGACCTGTTCTGCTTTAACGAGTCGGCTACGAAGTTCTTCCTTTTCGGAAGCGAGGGCTGCGACCTGCAGGCGATGTGTTTCGGCAACGTTCTTTCGGCTAGTTTCGAATGAATGTTTAAGCTGCTGCATCTTAATTTCGTTATCCTCTAATTGCTGCTCTAGCTGGGCGATTCTTGCCTTGGCGTGTCGAAGGAGGGCTTGTTGTGCGTCATCTCCTGTTGTTGTCATCTGTTCAAGATCGATCTCGAGTTGCACAGACTGTTGACGGTACTGGTCGCGCTCCTGTTTGACCTGATCAAGTTCATCCAGCATGGTTTCCATCTCCTTTCGCATCTCGTCCAACAGCTGTTCGGCTTCTATTCGGTCATCTGTATTCCTGTCTAACTTCTTTTGGTAACTCTGCATCATCCTATTCTTTTGGTCCGTCAATGTGTGCGTACGTCGTGTCAGTTTCTTGATTTGCTTCTTGGCTTGGCTGAGGTCTTTGCTCAGACGGTCTATTGCATCAATCAGTCTTTTGTTATCCTTTGGCTTGTCCTGCGTTGCACTAATAATAATACAATTTTCAATATAATTTAGCATCTGAGTCGTAATTGTTTGATCATCGTTTGATTCTAAAAAGAGTATTAGTTCTGGAATAGTTGTCTTTTTTTCTCTCTCTCTTAATCACCTCTGTTTTTTAAAACCAGGACCATTTCCTTCAAATCTTGTAGATTTTTTATGTCTAATGGTGATGATGAAATGAATAATTGCTGTTTTTGTTGATGGTGAGCAAGAAATGTATCAACCTCATGTGCCATTGTATTAAATACTGAGTCATACAGCTTTATTCTTTGCTTCAATAACTCACATTCGTCCAATCCGGATATATTTTTGCTAGATTTATTCGATTTGACATGATCACTGCTGTAGGATGACATGGATGAGAACGATGATCTTCGTGAACTCCACCATGTGGATGTAGGTGACACAGTCATATCGTCAAGTTCTGTGTCATCGGATGATGGGTCCTTGATGTTCATTTTGCTCAGGTTATGCTTATTGATGGTATCTGAATGAATCATTAATTAATAAAGAAAGAATGATGAAATGAAGTAAAAGAGAGTAAAAGAGAAGGAGAAGGGATGAAGTGATGAGTATAAAAAAAAAAGATTTACAAAGATGAAAAAAGATTGTCCGCCCCCTCCTGCCTTGTACTTATATGCCTCTCTTTACTCCGCTTGAATAATTAGTGCTGTCTATTGAGAAAGAGGGGCCAAGATCGTATATATACAACATACGCCCCTTTTGATAAGGAGTATGAGAAGCTATGAAAGGGATAATTTAATATAAACTTGCAGAAGGGCGCAAGCACTTGCATTTGCAGAATTCAAACTCAACTAAGCCTGTCTTCTTCTCTTTTAATTGACAAGAACACAAGGCTCATGACATACAAATGGTATAGTCTCTTCCTTCCTTATCCCACTTATTCTGCACATGTTCAACTGACACGCGCGCAAAGGGAAAGGTCATTAGTCCATTTACTGACATTGCTGACATGGGAACGCATTATGTCCATTTAAACAAAATGACAAATTGAATGATCTGGCTATCAAGTTCTCACGTATATACAAATAAATATAAAAAGAAGCTTTAAACGTGTATTTCAATAAGTAGAATTAGTTTACAATTGTACGATTTCTAATTACAAACAGCAAGTCATTACTCTAATAGAAGGGAGACACTAGGCCTAAGAAAACTTGCACAAAGACACAGTTGGTGTGACACGACCATAATATCCCACTTTAAACTCTTATCGTCTTTATTTCATAAAATCCATTATTCAGCTAGTTGTATTTAAGAAGGATTAACGTAATTCACATTGGCTCGTATATCAAAGAGAGAGCGTGTGATGCCAATATTCTATACTTGATATTGAGAGTAACGAGATACCAATGTAGTTCAACTTTGCTTAAATACAACATAATTGGCTTATGAAGCTAAACAAAAGGAAAAACTTGTTTTGGATATCTTCTTTACAAACAACAGTAGCACGATTATACACGCAAGTCATGTTGTATGCGCTATATCAAGACTGTTCAACAAATATTCTGCTCTTTTATTTATACGTTCCTATTCAGACTATTTAATGTGTTACGCATTCCTATTTCCTTGTATCATTTGCCTTTGTACATGCTCTTTTGTCATGTTGGAATTGGTACTTCAAAATGTTTTCTTTAATTTTTAACTTAAAGTTTCAAGCATCATAAATGAAATAGGCAACACAATGAGAACCATATTTGCTATCATCCTCAGGATCCAGTGCGACTTTCATTTTATTTTTTACTTATCCTTGACGTTGAAGAGGTTAGTTAATCTGATTACTATTTAGATTGACAGTGACTCCTAATATAACCCAGGATAGTGGTTGTTATTGCTGGCATTGGTGTTTGAAAACATCTATGAGAATGTTTACCTGTCTTTTACTTTCTTTTTGTGGTGCTGCTGGTACATCCCTATTTTGACTTTTTGTTTTCCTATTTCCTTTAGTCTCTAAAAATAAGCCTTTAATTTAGCAGAAGAGGTTAACTTGTTTATCCCTTCTTAAATATGGAGATCTTATTGTGATGGCTCTATTTAATTGAATAGCTATATATCTGAAATAGCAGTAAGCCAAGGTAGGATCTGTGTTATATCTTCTGACACAGTATCGTGTCTATTTATCAAATCAGGTGTTGTCAAGAAAATGCCATGGCTTAAATAGTACATGTCGGTAACGTCTTCAATTTTTTTTATGCTGCTATAAGATCTCAAGCAATATCAAAATTATTTATTCCTTCTTCTCTTTCGTCTTCTTTTTCTACCTTTTAGTAATATCAGCTATGTCTTCTTCATTACTCTGCTATTCTTTTAGATTATGTTTTTTATTTCCCTTTAAAACAATTAATTCTTTGCGATCTTTTCTTTCTAAAGCAGATTTTACATCATAATTCTCAAATCTTATGCCTTTTGTTATATGTATGTTGCCTTCTTCTTTTTCTTTTATTAAATTGCTTTTCGTATAGCTCTATTTTTCTCCGCATTTTTGTTGTAGCTTTTTCTCTTATATAATTTTTGTATGTTTTTTCAAGTACTATATATTTAGAAATGCTTTATTCTTTATATTACTAATATTAAAATGTATATTTTTTTGCTTTGTTTGTTGGATAATAATTGATGAGAGCTATACCACTCTAAAATTATACGTTATATAATATGGATTCGTAGAGGCCATAGGCTGTACAATACAGTTATTATCTTACCATAAGAGAAGGGTATTTGCTGCCTTCTGTTTACTATTTATAATGGAATTTCTCCCGTTTTTAAAGTAGATAAATGCTTGCATAGTAACTCATTATGAGAAATTGTAGCACATGAGCAAGCTTTTTTATATATGGCTGGTATTTTGTTTTAGTACGCTTGTTGGATATGCTACTGAGAACAAGTAAGTGCACTTTTCAGAGCAAGTTGTAGGTATTTTTTAATAAGCCTAATTGTCTAAATAAATCTAATTCATATGACAGGCTTTCAATTGTAATGCTGCAGCCGCTTTTGTCGTTCTATGTGTTGAATAGTATAATGATTAATTTCTTGAAATGCATCATGAATTTAGTGCAGCTATATGTAAAACAACGTTCGTGCCCAGCGCTTTCGTTATCAACGCATTCTATAATAGTTAATGTAGCTAAAGAGGATTTACGATTTTGGTATCAGTATATGTGCTTTTTACTTTCTTAGCTGACCTGTAGTTGAAACATGTCTAATGCTTATCTTCTCTCATCATCTTTATTCTGTAGTAAATTTCAGCATAAAACTACACGTATGTCTGTTACTTTATAGTTGTAAAGCGATATATACTCGAGATACGCCTTGACTGCTTTGAAGTTAATTTTTTTTGCTAGATTCTTCATTCTTTTTCTTTCCCATTTACTTTTTACACTTTTTCCCATTTGATTTGAAACAAATATCAGCATTCATAAAGAACTTTTTTATTGTGGTCATTGCTTTATTTATACCATCTTCGTTATTAACCTCAAGTGTTAACTATTAAGCATGTTTATGTATTCAGTTTTTTTTTTTTTGATATTTCTTCTCCAAGACGTATTACATTGAGTTGATTTCAATTTATTTTTGAGAATGAAAACAGTATTAAATTAAGGATTACATTTGCGCCTTATTAAATGAATAACTCTTAGTTCCCTCTCATCTTTCTAGTCATCTCTAAAAATTTAAAATAGTGCGAAAAAAGGAGCCATACGTTATAACATTGGGTTTAAAGCATCTAACTACATTGTGCAATCAAAAGACATAGTTGACTAATGGATATTAGTGACAGTTTGTGCTACCATACAAAAGTGTAAAATAATCTTTGGGAGTCAATTGAAGAATGACTGCGTAGGTTGTTACAATCGAAGGCAATGTCATATTATGAATAAAAATAAGCTACTCATGGTCGTTGCATATTTTTTAAGCGAAACCTAACATTAAAATACACTTGTACTTGATCATTCTCCTTTTTTAGCAGTTGATCTTCTATAAATTTAAACTGATTAGCTGTAAAGTCTATGCTAAATTTATGGAAACAGAAATGCTCCCATGTTTTGTCTGCGTGATAAACGATCATTTTATGTTGTTCTAAGATTGTTTTTTACAACTCACATGGATGTCCACTCAGTTCAAAACATTCTACTTTGATTAAACTTTGCATTTGAAACCAAAGCGTATCGAAGCAGATGGTACTGTAGACTTTTATAATTCAAAGCACTATCTAAGGCGGCGCAAATAATATTAAGTATAAGCAAGCGCTTTCATACGATGTCCGATTCTTGAATTAGGAAAACTGTAACCAGGTGGTTTGCCTTCCTGATTAAGTTGCTGTAAGAGTCAGCTCCAAAACAATTTTATTTGACAAGCTATTCTTCTCATGCGGAACTGATAAAACAAGAGTATAAACTTGATTCGTATAACTGAATGATAAAATGGTCGAATCAAGTTTGTAACTTGGTCATATCTGGACTCGAAATACTATATCATTATGCATCACAACAATGTTTTTTTTTTTTT